TTTAAATAAATTTAAAGCAAATATTGATAAAAATACATGCAATAACATTTTACTCAATGTTATTTTTATGCTCATCACGTGTCAGTCTAGCAATTTAAAATATGTTTTCTATGTGAATATCTGTTAAACTGTAATGTATTTCTGTGATGCGCAGCTGTATTTTCAGCATCATTACTCCAGTCTTCAGTGTCACATGATCTTCAGAAATCATGAAAATATGCTGATTTGCTGCTCGAGAAACATTTCTGATTATTATCAATGTTGAACTGAGGTGTATTAAAGGCCTCAAGTGTTCAGGAAGGCTGTGGGACATGCGGACATAGTTCTTCTAGCGCAGCTTCCTAAAGAGGGTGGAGGAGAAGTTCTGTGTTTGGGTGTGATTACGAGTGACTGGACAGACAGACAAGAGAGAAAATAGCTCTGCTTCTAAACCTGACATGCTGTGTTTGAAGACAACAGGTGCACTTCTTGTAATGTGCTGGCTAAGCATTACTTTTGGCCTAAATCATCACCAAAAGATAAGCCAAACAAGCTCAGTTAAAAAAAAAAAAAACGTATGAAGCAAAAATGTTCAGTATAAATTAATATTTATATTTTATATCTATGCATCAAATTTTAAATAAATTTAAAGCAAATATTGATAAAAATACATGCAATAACATTTTACTCAATGTTATTTTTATGCTCATCACGTGTCAGTCTAGCAATTTAAAATATCTGTTTTCTAATTGAATATCTGTTAAACTGTAATGTATTTCTGTGATGCGCAGCTGTATTTTCAGCATCATTACTCCAGTCTTCAGTGTCACATGATCTTCAGAAATCATTCTAATATGCTGATTTGCTGCTCGAGAAACATTTCTGATTATTATCAATGTTGAGAACAGTTGAGCTGCTTCATAAACTACCATTCAAAAGTTTGATGCAATTACAAAACTAAAATAAAAAAAAGAATGCTTTTATTCATCAAGGACACATTAAATTGATCAAAAGTGACAGTTAAGACATTTAAAATGTTACAAATGATTTCCGTTTCAAATAAATGTTGTTCTTTTGAACTTTCTATTCATCTGTGAATCCTGAAGAATAAAATGTATCACGGTTTCACAGAAATATTAATGTTTTCAACACTGATAATAATCAGAAATGTTTCTCGAGCAGCAAATCAGGGGCTCATATCTTCGTGTTCGGAGCCAGTTTCCTTCCTCCAGAAATCAGATCAGAGCCGCTGGGTCTCCACACCCAGCCTCCGGAGACTGTTGGCCAGTGACGGCTCTTACATAACCGCTGAGAAACGCTCCGGATGGACTCACCCATGCCAGTGCGTCCGGAGAGAGATAATGACATCAGCCTGCACTCCATTCAGCCCGCTATAAAACCGTTCTCTCACACAGAACAATATCTGGAGGATCTCAACACTTTCTGTTGCCCAGCTGAACTTCCCTCTCTCATACTGCATTTATTCTGCTCTCCGAGTGTTTTACTGTCCTACAGATCACAATAGAGACCACACACTTTTTCAGTGGCTTTTTTGCCAGGGTTTTTACAGGCTTTTGAAGACTTAAGACCAAGTAAGGAAAATTTAAGGAATAAATTGCAGGAACTCAATATGTGACCCTGGACCACAAAACCAGTCATAAGTTTCAATTTTAGGAAATTGAGATTTATGCATCATCTGAAAGCTGAATAAATAGCTTTCCATTGATGTATGGTTTGTTACCGCTGTTTTACATTCTAATAATATTTCACTGTTTTTTGAAGTAAAAATGATGATCATTTCACAATGGAAAAAATATTATTCCCGTATTTCCGTTATGTTCTATGGTAAAATCTAAGCTATGTTTTTTGTGCGTGAGATGCTTCTGGAGCTGCAGGAGCTCAGCATTAGATCCACCTCAGCAGCCTTCACATTAAAGGCCAGGAGTTTGAGAGAAACGGTGTATTCAGGGCCAGTGTTGGGAAGGTTACTTTGGAAATGTAATAGGTTACAGATTACAAGTTACCCTACTTAAAATGTAATAAGTAGTGTAACTTTTCAATTACTTTATTAAAGTAAATGTAACTGTCTGGGGGGCACAACGAGTTCACAATGAGTTTTTGAGCAACACCCAACTCATCTCCAATACTTTTTATTTATTTTACACAAGAAATAGCATATGTCTTGAATATCTCTGCTCCCAAACACTAGAATATGGAAATAAATTTTACTGTACCTTCTGATGACACTGCATAAAGTGAGGTATACATGTCTAAAGATTCTAAAATCAAGGTACATTTACTTGAGAAGCAAAATGACACAAGTCTTGTTTTCTGAGAATCAGAATGAAGTTCATGATTAAAACAAGAACAAACATCTGCCAATGCGCTTAAGAAATCAACTTAATTCAAAGGGAAACAAGTTTTCAAACCTTGTTGTTGTTTTAAGCATAAACTCACTTGTGTTCAATTTTTCGGAAAACAAGACTTACTTTTACAATTACTTGAATCTTGATTTAAGGATCTTTAGATATTTATATTGCAAAACAAGACAAAATTACCAAGGGAAAATGTTCATTTTTTGAAGTGCATGCAACATTTAATGCCATGGCTTTATGAATTTAAGACTCCTTTACAGGCATTAATTTGCGGAAGGGCAAATTAAGACCTTTTAAGACCTGCAGAAAGCCCTTTTCCCTTCACTTTCACCACAGAGATTTCAGAAGATTCTTCAGTAACACAATCTAAAGCCATGAACCAAATCATCCAGCTCCATCACAACATTACAAACTATGAATCAAAGTGCAAACAGCATTTGAAAAATGACACAATCCTGAAACTTTTCATCCCACGATGAACTGCGATTGACGCCATCAACTACATCATGATATAACACTAATTCGTATACATGCAGTGTTTGGCTCAATAGATCTGTATTGACAGATTTACACAATATAGAAACCTATGGAGAAAATCAGTGGGGGTTTTTTTAACGTTCAGAACCCTTATGTTGTGCTTGATCGTTATAGTTTTTCAGCAGATGATTTCAAGCCAGCACAACTTGACCTTCAGAGTTTGTTCTGGAGAGATGCTTCAGACAGATAACAAAACTGAAAGGACTATTTTTGCTTTTCAGTTAGACTGAGTGCATTTTGTGCCTGAAATATGTGTGGAAATGACGTTTTAATGGTGATCCAATTAGCTGCCAATAAACACACATGCTCCGCTGTCCTGTGTAAACCGTCCTGAACGACAAACAGAGTACGAGGAAGATTGCACAGAGCGAGTCTTTGACTGCGACAGCACAGGTAGACTGTTCCTCTGTTACCGTACTGCGCTCATTAACCCTCGCTTATCTGATCTCCATCTCCTATTATGAAGACATTATACACGAGTCCGGCTGGCGGGCTGAGAAATTCAGATAAGAATCAAAATTACACTGGTGACAAAACGTCTGTGTGCATTCGTGTCGGCCTACACGCAGCCCTAAAATTACACAGAAGCCATGAGAAAAAAAGACACGCGAGTGAAGAACAAGATCAACAAGCCTCATTTCTATACAAATGAGGCTTATTATAGAATGAGGCACAATTACAGAAGTCATTTGCAATGCAGCATCAAATGACTGGTGAATCTAATGTCTCCCAACGTTTTCTTCTCTATTTCTGTCTCCTGATGGAGCCACTGTCAGCTTTTGGTTTGCTTAGTTGGGATCTGAAAGATGTATCGATCTGACCGCACCATCGGATAAGAACAAAACTTGATAATCACACTATTACCGTCTTCTGTAGAGCTGCTTTACAGCTGAATCTGAACTCCTCCATAGTTGAGTCTTCATAACTGATTCTGCTATTTTCCTCTCTATCTTTGTGAAGCTGCTTTGACTCAATCTGTATCGTATAAAGCACTGTAGAAATACAGGTGACTTGACATGAAGACAGCAGGAAGAAAACTGCACCCCATTGGCTTTACCTGTAACTCAACTACTTCCAAATATATTCAAAATTACACAAAGTGAAAAGAGTGCATCACGTTTGAAACAAATCATAAGCAAATCTGGCAAAGGGAGAGATGAATGCTTTCATTGTGAACCGGCATCCTCTATAGCTGCTCTTATTCCCACTGAGAGACTCTCAAGTCAATCAAGTTTCATTTAATGCAACACAGCTTTAGATAATACAGATCATTTCAATACAGCGTCACTGTTCAGCTGAATCAAACTCTGCTGTAAGCAGCTCTAAAAAGTCAATGGCCTGGTTTCACAGACTGGGCTCAGACTAAACCAGGATAAGTCCAATTAGGACATTTAAGTAATTTTTTTATAAATGTGCCTTAGAAAACACATTACTGGTGTGCATCTTGAGACAAAACAAAGGCACTGATATATTTTAAGATCAGTCAGTGCAAGTTTCTTTCAGTTGAAACAGCTCAGACTTACATTTTAGTCTGGACTAGGCTTAAGCCTTGTCTGTGAAACCGGGGGAATATCATTAAATCAGTTCAATGCTAGTTCAGTTTAATAGCAATGTAAAGTTAATCTGTTTTATGCGAGTTCAATTCAGCTCACGTCAGTTCAATGTTGATTCAGTTTAGTTCAATAACAGTGTTGATGTAGCAAGATTACAATATTGTGTTACTCCATGAAAAAGTAACTAATTGCGTTACTTTTTATGGAATGTAATGCATTACGTTACTTTTGTGTTACATTTTGTCATCCGGGCTGGGCTTGCTTATATGTTGTTTAATAACAAAAAAAAACATAAAAGTCATATTTTGGACAACTGTAAAGCCCCTTTCACACCAAAAATGAAATAAATAAGCCTCAGTCTGAAGAAAGAGCCTCTGTCTCTGCATTTACTCACGATTTCTCTCAACATGCGGACAGGAGAGCTGTCAGCCAATACAAAGTAACTGGTGTTACTTATTTGAAAAAGTAACTCAAATATTTCTATGCAAATTTAAAAGTAATGCGTTACTTTACTAGTTACTTGGAAAAAAGTAACGTTACTTGTAATGCGTTCCCCCAACACTATAAACTATAAAGCAGCTCTACCGAAGATCAATTCCATTTTTTTCTCATCCGATGTTCTCAACACAGTTAAATCAATAATATTGCTGAATATTAAGTGACTTGTAGGCCTCCATCAGGTGAACGAAATGCAGAAAGAGAAACCAATGCAGTGCAACACAGTTTATAGAAAAAGTAAAAACTGCTGAATGTGCACAGCGCATTACGTGCGTAAGATAAACATTGACCTGCCAACGAGTAACAATGAGCCGTCATGTATTTTTCTTTGTGCGTCTGTTGTTTTCAGTCTGTGCGTACACACGTGTGTTTGGACACATACCTGCGAGTGCTTGCATACCTGCAGCCTTTGAGAGGGAATCCGAGTGTGTGTGTGTGTGTGTGTGTGTGTTTACTCTGTGGGTGTGTCTGTGTGTGTAATGAACTGAGCGCTTTTGGTTTAGTGTGTCACTGGCAGAAAAGGTGACGCAGTTAAAAGCCACAGACCTGAACTGCTATTTTAAGAACAACTAAAAAATCTGCATTCGTTCCCACAGAACATTAACGACAAAGACTTAGCCTATAAAATATGAGAGATGCTTCTTAGTGATAGTCCTTTTGTAGATAGCTATAATCAAAAAAATATTCTATAAGATCCTGGTGGGAACCAATACACTGCAAAAAAAAAATTTCCACAAGTATTTTTGTTTTTCAGTACAAATATCTAAATATTCTTAAATCAAGATACATTTACTCGAAGAAGCAAAGCTATTGGTAACACTTTACAATAAGGTCTCATTTGTTAACATTAGTTAATGCATTAACTAACACAAACTAACAATGAACAATATACTGTATATTTAACCTTTGTTAATGTTAGTTAATAAAAATGTTCATGTTAGTTCATAGTGCATTAACTAATGTTAACATACAACTTTTGATTTTAATAATGTTGAACATTAACTAAGATTAATAAATGCTGTATAAGTATTGTTCATGTTAACTAACATAGTTAACCAATGTTAACAAATGAAACTTTGTTGTAAAGTGTATTAAGGCTCATTAAGAGATATTAGGACTTATTAAAAAAACAAAAAGACTTGAGAGATTTTAAGTCTTATTTATGCTTAATTTTGATCATTAAACAGGTCATATTCCTTCTCAAGTAAATGTATCCTGATTTAAGAATGTTTAGATATTTGTAACAGAAAACAATACAAAAACTTCTAAGATGTCATTTTGTTGCAGTGTTTCACATTTGAAAGTTCAAAAACATTTAACAATGTTGCATTTCTGTCAGCTGTCACTCATTGGCTGGATTTGCGTCATCTCTGTGACTTTTGGACTGAAGTCATAAAGAAATGCTGCTTGAACGAAACAAGAGTCTCAGGTAAAATCATTCCGTGATTGTTGCTCAGTTCTTTCTCCGCATGACAAAAACAAGGCTATAAAAAGTAGTAGGCAATCATACTCACAAATACATAGTTTCCTATTTGCCCAGGGCTTCTCTCTCCATTCATAGTATTACTAACAATGAAGTCCTGTTCTAGTATGAACACATCTATGGAACATTGACTCCATCGTACCACAACAGCGTTGGCCAACCGCAGACACGGAAAGAGAGGTCAAAATACAAGAACGTTCATTTAATGAGGATGACATTCAGCAATATCTCATTACACACGTACTACTCAAACGTTTGGACACTTGGCTGAATTCATTTCCCATCATCATGAAAACGTTTTGATCTAAAGGCTTTTGCTTAAATGCATTCTATTTAATTTTAGGGTTCATTCTTTTTCAATAGGCGAGATGATATGGATACTGACGGAAAGCATCATTATTGTGCAGAGCTGGAATCTAGACAAAGAAGAAGCTCAGACAGTTTACGCCACTGCACAATTATCCCACACTTGCATTAGTGTTACTTCATAATTTGGATGTTTATGATAAAACTGCTCTAAAATGTGGAAAATCATAATAAAAATGTCATAACCGTGAATAAAAAGTTGCGTCTGGCGCTGTATATCCCTCATAAATCTTGCAATGGCGTCACAAATGCTATAAAAACATAAAAGACCAAGAAAAACTATGAAAACAAACAAGTCACATATTTATGATTTATGCCAAAAGCTTAAATGCCATCAATAGAGGTTTTAAATGGTCTGTGCTCATTATTGTCCAATTTAGTTCCACAGGAGAACAAACCAATGACCAAATGAAGTTCCTGAACTTGGAAATCTCGAAGACAATCACTAAATCAGGAATCTTCACCAAGGGATCTGTGACGTCTCAAAAAGAAAATGTGTTAAATGAAAACAAACATGTTCAATTAAAGTTTCTTGGTTGGAGACGAAGCCCAATCCAAAGACAAAAAAGAAGGATATGACAAATTTGTTCTGTGCGACAGCGCTCTCACCGTTGAACAGAGCAGTTCTTTCAGAAGTATTTTTCCCACATCTTTTCTCCTCGTTCCTGCCAAACTCTCTTTCCATTCAGAGTTTCGTTTAAACTCTTTGGACTGTAATGCGGCTGGTTAAGCCAAACCGTAGTCAAGCCTTGCCTCACATTACTGTCCGAGGTCTAGAGGTGGTTCTTCTCTGAGATCAGGGCAAATATTCTGTATACGCATAGAGTTCTCATAGTAGAGCTGGTAAACGTACACTTAAAAACCAGTTCCCAAACCTGCTGCCTCAAAATTAGTATCTAGAAAAAGGCCAAGTTTCTACAGTTTTCCCTGAGAGAGTCGGAGGGAACCCACACCTCCAAAAATCTCCAAAGTCTGACCTGGATCTAGCCTGGATTCCAGCGCATCAGAATGACAAACTCTAGCTATATAAATGCATTTCTGAAGTTTTGTTCTGGGGTCCGTCACCGAAATATGAAGAGAAATGGTAAAAGCCTTCTTTTGTAGCTTGTGAACACTAAAAATGCTGGGGTTTTTTTTTTAGAGTGAAGAACCTCTCATCTGTACGATACACATGACTTGCTGTAGTTGTTCTCAATCAACCACTGTTGAGTTTCAATGACTGAAGAAAATAATGAGTTCGCCAATCACAGCTAATTAGTGCTCTATTTCGGGTGGAAATCTGAAGTGCAGATCCATGCTAACATTGCTCACAACCCATTGCACGTTGGATGAGGATTCAAGTTGAACTCCAAACGTGAAACATGAATATATGGCAGTGGTCACATATGCATATTGTGTAGAACTTTCCTTTATTGTTGCATACTAAATATGAAGTACTGATGTGTGAATTTGCACGGCATAAGATGTTTGAGCAAGCTAAATGTCACAGACTCTTGGCTGAAAATCAAACTAAACTCAAAACAAGTTTTAAAGAATACTAATTAATGGCTGTTTCATGATGTTATTTTTTAATACGCATTTTGAATTTACCATTATTATTAATAGTGTATTCATACAGGAGCCCTGAAGTGTGACATCATTTCCTGTTGCGGTGTCACATTTTGCATGGCTAAAAAACAATCACGTCTAAAACACACGAGCTGCTCATTTCGACACTACGTCAAAACAACATGCCAGAAATACTGACTGATGAAAAAGACAGTATGAAAGCAAGACAGAAAAGTGACAGAAACTTCTTAGTCACATCATGAACATCGGAAAGTTTGAAACGCCCTTAAAACACAGTGTCTACGGCTGGCCGAGCATCATCATCCAACATAAACAGCAGTTTACCAGGCATTACATCAGTGACTTGCAAATCACAGACAATGTGTGGACGCGACGATCTACATCACGTCAGATTCTAGCAGGGTAGAGTTGGGGGAATCCCAGGGAAAGTATGCGTCTGTCTGGAGGACGGGGAGAGGTTTACATTAAGAGCTTATGTCTCAAATTCATTTCCAGAGACCCGGCGGTCCTTCAGTTCCCTGAAAGTTGCACTCGTTTGCACATTATTTCATCACTTTGCTTCTCAGCCATCTGGAGTGAATCCAGAATCAGCCTGCGCTCAGCCATTAGACCCTAATCAAGCAGAGCCTCGTCACACGTGAAAATATACGCTCGCACACTGTAAAAAAATGACCGTGAACTTAATGATAAAAGACTGTAAAAATGCAACAGTAAAAATGGTTAACGGTAAATTCACCTACTATATACGGTGAAAAACTGTATTGGACATTACATGTATTGGACATTAATTTTACGGTAGTATACCGTTTTTGGAAGTGAAATTTAACTGTAAATTTAAGTTAAAACCGTAAAACCTAAAACGTTGCTACCGTATTTTTTACGGTAAATTTCCGGCAACCACAGCTGTCGGTTTTTTACCGTAAATTTTACGGATTTTTTTTTTTACAGTGCACAAATCATGTCTCTGTGACTTTAGCAGCGATCATTGAGCAATAGTGTCGTTTTCTGTTAAGAAATATTTACCCTTCAAACTAGCAAGTATGCACTTGGATTTTTCAATAAAGTTCCTGTTTTATGTCAAATAAGACAAGTAATACGGACAAATATAAGGTCTGCTGGAGTTCAGCGTCACTGCAGTCTGGGCCCCTCTCTCAGCCAAAACCACAGAAATGTTACGTTCACAAAACAAACTTCTCTCCGTCTGAATCACATTCCCTCGCTCTGCCCTGGTCAGCCGGCAGACTCTGACCAAAGCCATGACGTCTGCTCATGAGTAAGTGTAATG